CTCCAACTGTTAACTCAGGGAAGGATGATTTTTGTAGAGTCAGGCCGGGTCTCAAACAGCATGCTGTCAGTTACTAAAAACCCCATAGAGTGCAAATCTCAAAATCCGATTTGAAAATAGAAAAAAACAACAATTACTGAAAGTACATGAGATGTTAAGTCATCATAAACTTTTCATGGTGCAAGTAGGAGTTTTGTGCAATGGACTGTGTCTGTTAAGATGGAATGGGTTTTTTTTTTTTTTTAAAAAAAAACCTCTGGGCCGGATGCGGTGGCTCATGCCTGTAATCCCAGCACTTTGTGAGGCCGAGGCGAGCAAATTCCTCGAGCTGAGGAGTTCGAGACTAGCTTGGGCAACATGGCAAAACTCTGTCTCTACAAAAAAATAAAAAGATTAGCCAGGGGTGGTGGTGCAGGCCTGTAGTCCCAGCTGCTTAGGAGGCTGAGGCAGGAGGATCATTAGAGTTCAAGAGGTCAAGGTTGCAGTGAGCCATGATCATGCCACTGCATTCCAGCCTGGGTGACACAGTGACACCTTGCCTCAAAAAAAAAAAAAAAAAAAAATTAAATTAAATTAAATTTAAAAAAATCTCTGAATACTGTGGTGTCCATGAACATCAACACCACATCTTTCTAGGTTCTTTCATGATATTTATCATTTTATAAATATGTAGTTTTTACAGAGTTGTGATCAGTGGGCAAACAAATGAAATGATCTTGTTTTATTTTCCCCTCCCAAAGACCATTCAATCAGATGATTCTAGTAGTCCTTTCTCTTCTCTGCAAGAATGCTGCAACTCTGGCTATAACTCTTTATTCTTCATTTTGCTGGAATGTTGACAGGCCATAGTAAGACAAGAGAAATTAGTTTAATTGATGCTATGGACTATGCTTTGGAATCTTTAAGTAGTTTTTAATAATTTAAAAGAAATTTAATTTTAAAATTCAAAAATATAATTGTTATAATATATTTTTTAATAGCTGCCCAAAACTTGGAAGAATAAGACAAAAAAGCAGGAAATATATTTCTAGGCATATGTTTTAAGGCTTGACACAATATCTTTAGTCATTTTTAATATCTGACCAAAACTTTATCACTTTGCTCTTCCATTAAAGAAGTGAAGCAGATGCTTTGCTTTTACCATTTTGAATAGAATTTTCCCCTGGCATATTGTGTGAGCACGTAATATCTATAACATAAATAACAGCTGTCATGGCAATCCATGATGCCTGATGTGCTCTATGGATCACATTTATTTTGTATAAATGTAACACTTATGTTTTATAACTATTTATTTATTTATTTTGAGACCAAGTCTCGCTCTGCTGCCCAGGCTGAAGTGCAGTGGCACGATCTCAGCTTGCTACAACCACCGCCTCCCGGGTTCAAGCAATTCTCCTGCCTCAGCCTCCCAAGTAACTGGGATTACAGGTGCCCGTCACCATGCCTGACTAATTTTTGTATTTTTAGTAGAGACGGTGTTTTGCTACGTTGGCCGGGCTAGTCTCAAACTCCTGACCTCAGGTGATCCACCCGCCTCAGCCTTCCAAAGTGCTGGGATTACAAGCGTGAGCCACCACACCCAGCTTATAACACATTTTTAAAAATGTGAGATGTGACTCACTAGTGGGGTCATGAAATCAATTTATTGGGTCTCAGCCAGAATTTTATAAAAAATGAAATAAAAAATAAAATATCCGAATGTGTGGTACATGGTAAGAGAAAGTATTGTTTTATGAAGCTTGAACATAATGAAATAAGTATTCACTTTAGAACAAAGGAAAACAACGACATTTATATTTTTCTGTAATTAATAATCAACTCTTTTATATTCATAAACACAATTACTCAGCTTAGTACATTGCATTAAAGGTATTCAAACCATTTAAAAGTAATTTTCTATTCATTTTCCATGGGCACCATTAGAGAATTAACAGGCTAGCATTTGTTGACACTATTTTCCATAAACAGATTCTCATTCCTCTGGCATTTATCTACCATGAAATAATAATAGAGTCAAGGGCTCCTGATTTTCATTTTACTATTCTCTAATAATGATCTATCTCCATGGTAAAGATGTGACACTTTCTCCTTATGATGCATGGCTCTACAACAAAACACGATCTCACTGGAAATCGATAAAAAATAATTCCAATGAGTCTACATAAACACCCATCCATATTCACACATAGCCTTACTTATTAAAACCCTTCACGTGTTTTTGAACTCTCTTCTCAAAAGTCACAATGTTGTGGGCAGAAAAAAAAATTAACCCACTTAGTTGTATCTTGCACTGTACATTTCAGTGCTATGGAGAAAACAGGCAAAGTAGAATATAAAAAGAAACATCGATCTTGAAGGGTCAAAGTTAACATTTGTATAAGTGTTGGAAAACAAATGTAGAAGCCCCCACACTCTTTTGAAAAACCACAAACTCTGCTTTAGCATGAAGCCTGCTTACTATACTGACGGGGATATCCAGCACTGAGGGTTAGGTGCTGGGGTTAGGTGCTGGGGTACTGCTTTCAGGACAGTGAGAGTTTTACCTCTGAATGGAATTCACAAAGAAGCTGTTTCATTCAAGTTAACATTAATTTCTTTATTTTATTCTGATTTCCATAAGTTTTTGGGGAAGAGATGGTGTCTGGTTACATGAGTAAGTTCTTTAGTGGTAATTTGTGAGACTTTGGGGCACCCATCACCCCAGCAGTGTACACTGTACCCAATTTGTAGTCTTTCATCCCTCAGCCCCCTCCCACCCTTTCCCTCAAGTCCCCTAAGTCCACCGTAACATTAAGTTCTAACAGAAAGGAGTTTCCATGAGAAGCAAGTGCAGAGACTCAAAAGGGCAAGAAACACTCTTAAGAGTCCCCTCACCGATCGTTTAGTTCAAACCATTTACTGTAAACTTACTCTGTGCCAGGCACTACACTGGGGCTGGAGACAGAGATGAGTTTCCAGTCTAGTGGGAGAGTCCCCAAAGCACACAGTAAAGTACCATTCCATATGCCAAGGATATGACTGAGGTATACTCAAGATACAAAGGAGGCAGACAGAGCGCAGAGCCACCCAACCCAGATGGGGAGCTGATGGAGATCAATGGAAGTTTCTTAAAGAGGTGATGTGTGAGGTGAGCCTTGCAGAAGAGGTAGGGGCACTTCCCCGGGGGAAGTTAGGTTATACAGCAGGATATAGGCTCAGGACATTGCAATAAAGGTTACACAATATGAGTCTGGTAAATTTTGAAACAACATCCGTTTCATTTGGTGCAATCCAAGCACTGACTTTGTTCAGGATACCACAAGGAGTGAGGGGTTGCTGGAACACATGGTGAAACATGGGAGAGGATGTAAGAGATAAAGCCGAAAGGGGCAAAGGTCAGTGCAACATCTCACATAGGAATTAAAGTGGGAACAGACACAGGCCGGGATCTTATGCTGCTACTAAGATACCAAAGTCCTAGGATCACCTAGGTATTCAAAAATACTATTCAATACACTTTAGAACACTAAGACAGAAGTTAAGAACATTTAAAGGACATTTTAATCATAATTCCTCCTCATTAAAATTACATCTGTCTTCCTTTTTTTTTTTTTTTTTGAGTAATTTCAACCTTTACTTTCGGTTCAGGGGATATATGTGCAGGTTTGTTACGTGGGTATGTTGTGTGATGCTGAGGTTTGGGGGTGTGAATGATCCCGTCACCCAGGTAGTGGGCACGGTACCCAGTAAGTAATTTTTCAGTCCTTGGACTCCTCCCTCCATCCTATCTCTAGTAGTCCCCAGTGTCTGTTGTTCCCATCTTTATGTCCATGTGTACCCATTAATTAGCTTCCACTTGTAAGTGGTAACACGTGGTATTTGGCTTTCTGTTCCTGCGTTAATTCCTGGTTACATGAGTAAGTTCTTTAGTGGTAATTTGTGAGACTTTGGTGCACCCATCAATCGAGCAGTGTACACTGTACCCAATTTGTAGTCTTTTATCCCTCAGCCCCCTTCCACCCTTTCCCTCAAGTCCCCTAAGTCCACTGTAACATTAATTTCTAATGGAAAGGAGAATGGTCTCTAGAGGCTTCCACGTTGCTGCAAAGGACGTGATTTTTGTTCTGTTTTATGGCTGCATAGCTTTCCGTGTACACCTGTCTCCAAACCTTCTTGTTCCCTTCAACTTCTATCACACATTATTATTATTATTATTATTATTTTTTTTTTTTTTGGAGATAGAGTCTTGCTCTGTTGCCCAGGCTGGAGTGCAGTGGCACGATCTTGGTGCACTGCAACCTCTGCCTCCCGGGTTCAAGCGATTCTCCTGCCTCAGCCTCCCAAGTAGCTGGGATTATAGGCATGCGCCATCACACCCAGCTAATTTTTGTATTTTTAGTAGAGATGGGGTTTCACCATGTTGACCAGGCTGGTCTTTAACTCCTGACCTCTGGTGATCCACCCACTTCGGCCTCCCAAAGTGCTGGAATTACAGGCGTGAGCCACCGCGCCTGGCTAGCCATTTTCTTTTCTATGTTATGTAGGCAGTTCCGAAATTTCTCCTACAACAAATCACATTTCTATAAACAGTTTCTACATGGGCATTTTTTTTTGACAGAGTTTTGCTCTGTCGCCTAGGCTGGAGTGCAGTGTGCAATCTCGGCTTACTGCAGCCTCTGCCTCCTGGGTTCAAGCAATTCTCATGTCTCAGCCTCCTGAGTAGCTGGAATTACAGACTTGCATTACCATGCCTGGCTAATTTTTACATTTTTAGTAGAGACAGCGTTTTGCTATGTTTGCCAGGCTGGTCTTGAACTCCTGACCTCAATGATCTGCCCAGCTCAGCCTCCCAAAGTGCTGGGATTACAGGCGTGAGCCACCGCGCCTGGCCCTCTGCATGGACATTTAATCTTATGTTTTCCTTGAGGTAAGTTTTAAGGTCTGAGATTACTGGGCCACCGGGTGTATATATATTTATGGACTTTTTTTACACAGGTGGAGGAGGGCCAGGTACTCACTGTTTTGCTCCATGTGAGGCCCGTGGTGTGGTGTTCCTTGATGTACGCTTGAAGCTCACTCCAAATGTTCAAATATGACTTCACCCAATCCACATGACGCAAATCACTTTGTTGTGAAAGAGAGTGGAAGAAAGCAGAGTTAGGATCTAAAAGAAAATTTTAAAAAGATTGTGGGGCACACAGTTATCTAGTGACTAGGGCCCCTGGAGCCTGAAGTAATTGTCCTTGCAGCCTGGTCACCATGAAGCGCTTCAGAAGGGAACCCTGGGAGGAAGCTGGCCCAGCACTCTCCTGAGGGGAGGCGGCAGGTGACCGGATGCCCTGAGCTCCGGGTATGGAGCAGAGGGACCACAGAGAGGGGACCCGACAGAGCTAAGCTGACTTGAGTAGGGTGTCCTCGCGCTGTCCCTGTCAGCACTCATGTGAAGGGGGCGTAGCATGGAGGCTGTTTCTTTCTGTGCTGCTTCTGATGCAAAATGAGAGACAATACGCTCCCAGGAATGAGAATGGTATTAAAAAGAAAAAAAAAGAAAAACAGCATTGGGTTCATTTTCTCATAATTCTGTTGAATTATTTGGTTAAAAGTGTAATCAGGCCAGGCGCAGTGGCTCACGCCTGTAATCCCAGCAGTTTGGGAGGCTGAGGCAGCTGGATCACGAGGTCAGGAGTTCAAGACCAGCGTGGCCAACATGGTGAAACCCCGTCTCTACTACAAATACAAAAATTAGCCGGGCCTGGTGGCACGTGCCTGTAATCCCCCAGCTACTTGGGATGCTGAGGCAGGAGAATCGCTTGAACCCGGGAGATGGAGGTTGCCATGAGAGGATATCGCGCCATTGAACTCCAGCCTGGGGGACAAGAGCTAGACTCAATCTCAAACAAAACAAAACAAAACAAAAACTGTAATCAAATTGGAGAATTTCAGTCATTATGACTGACAAAGACTTTGGTATAGGAAGAAAATTGATCTCTTACAAACAGGTAACACCCCTTACTTTTAAAGGGACATTTATTGAAATTCCCTTAATTTAATATTTTGAATGACAATACAAACCAGGCAGGGCATCACCAGTATTTTTATCTCTATTTTACTGAACCAAGGGCTAGTAAAATGCTTACCTTTTATAACGGGATTAACATAAAAGATTGAAAGAATTGTTAGAAATATTAAACTTATAGATAGGTAAAAATAGTTGCGTTTCCTTTTGGGAATTTTTACCCATAATATTTTCTCACTTATAGAAGTCAAGGTAATGCAAAAATGATGACATTTGAGTTAAGAAAAATTTAATTATGTTCCTGGGCCATTAATCTGAAGATAATCACGAATGGAAATCTCTATTATTAAAGCTCTTGTAATAATGACTTGTCTCTAGACATATTTTGTTTTCCTTGAAAAGCCCTAAAGTACCACCAGCATGTTTAGAATCCTATTGTATTAAGGCATGCCATTTAGAAAGAGTGAAATTGGGAACCGAAGTCATAATTATTCACTCCACAAATAGAAAAAATGTGAGTGTGGTTTTGTTCTAGATTTTTAGATGTACTGATTATATTCATCAAATGTATGAAAAATCTCATTGTCGCTTTATCTCACCTTCACAGTCAAAACTCAAAAACTAAGTGTAGCTCCAACGGTTTCTCCCGTTAGTTTCCTAAGTCTGTAGGGTCTTGTAAGGGTCTTAGTACAGTGCCTTGTGCATAGGAAGCAGTATACACATAGCTGTTATTAGAGCTTGAACATTACTTCAACATAAATGTACACACATATGTCTATGTTTGTATGTGTATGTACATATAACACACACGTATGTTTGTAGACATTATAGAAATAGCATGTTGACATTCAGTATACTTTCTTTTCTTTTTTTTTTTAGAGACAGGGTCTTGCTCTGTTGCCCAGGCTGGAGTGCAAAGGTGAGATCATAGCTTGCTATAGCCTCAACCTCCTGGGCTCAAGTGATCCTCCCACCTCAGCCTCCCAAGTAGCTGGGACTACAGGTGTGCACCACCATGCCCAGCTAATTTTTAAAATTTTTTGGTAGAGATGGGGGGGTCTCACTATGTTGCCCAGGCTGGTCTTGAACTCCTGGACTCAAGCTATCCTCCCTCCTCAGCCTCCCAAAGAGCTGGGATCACAGGCATGAGCCACCATGTCTGATTCATTTATTTTCTATTAAAGAATTTAACAATGGATGAAGTCCAAGTCTATATGGGCAAGTTCTTTTTTTTTTTTTTTTTTAACCAATGCAGTATTATTTTGACTTGAACAACGTTCTAGCAAAACTTGTGATAAGGACTAAGAGTATGGTGCTCTTTTACCTGAAGTCAGTCTTTAAGAGGTAACAAATTGAGCAGGACCCAAATACACATTGGGAGCTGCAAAACTATCTTCAGTTTTCATATACTCTGGAAGAAGCTATGGTAGGGGAATGTGAATTTTAATGATTATGACTCAGAGAGGCCACACCTCTATAAAGCTAAAATAAATGACTCGCTCTATTCATATATTGAAAGAGCCAGGCCGGGCGGGGTGGCTCACGCCTATAATCCCAGTACTTTGGGAGGCTGAAGCGAGTAGATCATTTGCGGTTAGGAGTTTGAGACCAGCCTGACCAACATGGCAAAACTCCGTCTCCACTGAAAATGCAAAAAAAATTAGCTGGGCATGGTGGTGCTTGCCTGTAGTCCCAGCTACTCGGGAGGCTGAGGCAGGAGAACTGCTTGAACCCGGGAGGCGGAGATTGCAGTGGGCCGAGATCACGCCACTGCACTCCAGCCTAGGTGACAGAGTGAGACTCCATCTCAAAAAAAAAAAAAAAAGAGAAAAACAGCCAATGAGCAGTCAAGCTGGTGGTAAGTGTTGCACAGATACAGACTCCACGGCTCACAGTCCTGTTTAAACCTCAAGGAAGTCTGCCTTTTTATTCCTCTACCTTCGGTCCTATCTGCCCAGTGGGCAGCAGTGACTCACAAATAACTACGACACAGAGACGGCACAGCGGGCTTGAGTCCACCAGTAAATGGGTGTTGTGTGGTGTGGAGTATGCTGCTTAGTCCGCTTTCAGAAGCTCAAGGGTGACCTGGGAGTGCTTTGACTACTCCTAGCAGTAAAACGAATGCATTTGCACCTCCAGCTGCGTTTCTTCGGCTTCTTGTACAGTCTTGAGGTGGTCCACTGAGCTGAACTGAGTCGTCTTTGGTACTACTGGAAGTACATTTTCTACTTAATTGCTAGAGTTAACACTGAGGGGCAAATACTGAACTCTCTTTGTGAACAAAAGTATATAGAAAACCCAACCCATTTGACTATGCTGCTACCTGGGGAGAACCCCTCACACCCATAGCCCCAACATATACTCAGGGAGGGACTGGGAGAAGGACAGGAGCTGATGAACTGAGATACCAATTAAAATAGTCTCCAAGGGTGGAATGTAAAAAGGCATAAACTTAGGTAGTGCTTGAGCTGTCCTGAACTGGCATGTGTAGGTGTGTGCCTGTATATCTGGAACAAAAGAAGTCACTATGGGTGTATGTTCATGCTGTCATATGATATCCAGGTTTGGCAACTGAAACTTGCTCTTTTCTGAAATGTCATTTTTATGTCAGAAGAACAGGCCATCTTGCATTTCTGATGCCTTTCTCATGCGTGCCGCGCACTCCTAAAGTCTCTAATAAAACACGGCAACATTTGGAGGCGTATCATTGGGCACAATTGCCTTGATGCAAAAAGTCTGTCACTGAGCACAATTGTTTTAACCAAAGCTTTCTCGGGGTGGGCAGAGCCCCTAAGAGGAAAAGCGGTGCACTGAAGACCCTGGAATTAGGAGTTCTGTCTGCTAAAGCTCCTCTTCCTAAAAGCAACATGGAACAATTAAATTATGTGAGGGGAATGTGATGGTTGTTTTTCTTTTTGTTTTTTAAAATATAATAGCTTTATTGAAATATAATTCACATCCCATATACTTTAGCCATTTCCAGTGTGCAATTCCATAGTTTAGCTCAGCAGAGTTGAGCCATCACCACCACAATCAATTTTAGAACATATTTGTCGCCCCCAAAAGAAACCCTATACCCATTAGCAATTATTCCCCAAAAGGGAGTAATTACTTGAAACTTAAAAAAAAAATCTTAAACTTTTAAAAGTTTAAGTTTTCCCTAAATTTCCCCAGTCCTACTTTCACTTAGCACAATATTTTCAGGGTTCATCCATGCTGCTGCCTGAATAAAAGAATGAAGTATCAATACTCCATTTTTTTTTCATGGCCAAATAATATTCCATTGTGTAGATACACCATATTTTATTTATTCATTCATCAGCTGATGAACATTTGGATTGTTCCCACCTATTGGCTATTATGAATAATGCTGCAATGAATATTGTGTACAAGATTTTGGGTGAACATACGTTTTCATTTCTTTTGGAAACATACCTAGGAATGGAATTGTTGGGTATAGCTGCTTTTTTTTTTTTTTTTGAGATGGAGTCTCACTTTGTCACCCAGGCTGGAGTGCAGTGGCACAATCTCAGCTCACTGCAACCTCTGCCTTCCGGGTTCAAGCAATTCTCCTGCCTCAGCCTCCTGAGTAGCTGGGACGACAGGTGCATGCCACCATACTCGGCTAATTTTTGTATTTTTAGTAGAGACAGGGTTTCACCATGTTGGCCAGGATGGTCATGAACTCCTGACCTCAAGTGATCCACCTGTCTCAGCCTTCCACAGTGCTGGGATTATAGGTGTGAGCCACCACTCCCGGCCTGCTTTTTATAGTAAAAAAATATTGTTACATATTTCTTAACCTGAGGGATGGATGTATATGTATTTTTTTGTATTGTAATCCTTTACACCTTATGTATATTTTATAAATATTCTTTTGTATCTACTCAATGTTTTTAAAATTTAAAAAATCTACAAAAGAAAGACTGATGAAAATTTTGAATATGTAATATTAATTAATGGCCTGGAGTATACTAAGTATTTATTTATATATTTTACGCAATTTTTCTATATTCCCTATAAAATTTGTCTTACATTGTTGTAGACCCTTTTCCTCTGGTTCTAATTTTCACATCTGCATTAGTAAAACAAAGGGGTGAATTGAGGCCAGGCACAGTGGTTCATGCCTGTAATCTCAACACTTTGGGAGGCTGAGGCGGGTGGATCACGAGGTCAAGAGATTGAGACTATCCTGGCTAACATGGTGAAACCCTGTCTCTACTAAATATACAAAAATTAGCTGGGCGTGGTGGTGCATGCCTGTAGTCCCAGCTACTTGGGAGGTTGAGGCGGGAGAATTGCTTGAACCTGGGAGGTGGAGATTGCAGTGAGCCAGGATCATGCCACTGTACTCCAGCCTGGCAACAGGGCGAGACTTTGCCTCAAAAAACCAAAAAACCAAAAAAAAACGTGAATTGAAGCAATAATCCAGTAATACAGGTTCTTTAATTTCCTTCCACCTGAACAGTCTGGGTCAACACATGAGACGTCTCCAGGTGCCTCTGCATTTGCTGACCAATGGTCACTTCTGTTGCTGCCATCTAAGAGCTCAGAGGGAGATCCATGCTGGAGTCCAGGGCCAGATGCAGGTAGAACCTTGCTGCTCTTATATTTGCCTCATCCCTTCCCTTAGTTCCTAGGCACCAGCCACATCACATTTAGCCAACTGTTTATAGAGTACAAGGCATGACCTTATCAGAGGGGGAGGAATCTCATGATATCCCTTAAATGGTTTAGGACACATTTTCCTGGATATTTCTTCAGCTCTGCCATGTCAGAGCTTTCAGTTTGGGCTTATTTTCTATTCTGACTCCAGTTTAAGTTACTCTGGGATCTACTACTTGTGCTGTCGAATGCAAGGTCCTTTCACGCTGGTTCACCAGGCAAAGCCCCTTGGTTTAGACTCATCTATACTTTCAGCAGCGCTCTGAATGGCTGCTGGTCTTACAGGTGTCTCTGTATCCACCCCAGTTGTATTTCATATTAACTGAGTCTCCGATTTCCTTCTCACTGCTCTGGTTTGTTGTTTCATCTCATTCTGTTCTTGATTCACACTTCATTTCCTGATTCCTCCTCTCGTCTATAGCTCACCCTCCAACTCTACTTTGATCCATGTAAAGGTTCTGCACCATACAGGGTTGCTCCATCACCAAGCTCTCTGATTATTGTGGGAATACATAAGATAGTGACATACATTCAAGTGGGGAGAGTTTATTCATTATAAGTGAACTGAGGCAGACTTTCTAAAACACATATATTATCTGGATAATTGATTACACTTTCCACTTGACTTTATCTGCAAAGATTAGATTTTCCTTTAAAGTTTATAGTACATTAGTGTAGAGCCTTGAAAAGGAATCAGTAGTTAACTGCACTGAGTTTTAGGGACAAATGTCTAACAAGTAATCAACTGAAAATTTGGTGAGTAAAGTAAGGTACGTACCTGTGTTTGTAGTCCTTTAAGACCCTGTTAGTGTAAAAGGTGGCAGCGTCATTCATCTCCTTGACATAAGGACCGGGTTTGGGGGACTGAGAAAACAGGACCGTCACCCAAGCATAGAAGGAAAAAAAAATAGGATAAGAAAGAAAATGCCTTAAAGAAGAAGAAAAGCAATGGAGACGTGTGGACTTGAAAGTGGGAGGCAAATGTTGCTCTGTAAAGGTTGATAAAAACACTTTCTACAGTATCTCAGAACAGAAAGCACTGAACTTTAAACAGGGTAGGAGAAAGCAGATGCATTCGGCCAGCTTCCTTCAGTGCAAGGAGCGTGAAGGTAACTAAGCTACGAGTTCTCCTAAATACTCCAAAAGTGTGATGAGGTGAAGAGGCAACATTCCATCTAGACTCACCACAGCTATCCATCCAAGGGCAGGGATGCTTTCGCTGACGGCCGAAAGATGATTAAACATGTTACTCCCCCGGTTTCTCTCTCTGAATGTTTGGATTTCCTGAATCTTTTCCGATATGGGTTTCAGAAGTGTGGCCACATCATTCTGGAAGCAATCAAACATCGGGGGCTGTTACTACAGACAGAGCAGACGCATAGCACCTCTATCCATGTTGGCCTAAGCAGGAGAATTCAGGACTTGCCATCTGTCCAGGGGTCTAAAAGAAACATATAATCATCTTTGAGAATAGCACGCATTTGTTCTTGGTTATGGTAATGCTGTGCTTTTACTGTCTGAAGTATGAAAATTGCAGATATTTTTAACATTATTAATGCTGCGGCTTGAGATGTGGAAAAAACCCAGCAGTATAGCACAGTCCCCATTTTGAAGACTCCTTCACGGAAGACAGTGAAATTGAGTGTTGATCATTTATATTTCAAATGGCAAATAGATTACACACTGCAATAACCCCGGTATAAAGTTGGGTAAGACTGGAAGGTTAGTAAAATGACATCATCCTGCTCCTGTGGGAAAATGCTTTGGGAGAGGCTTCCTGGTTTCACCATAGTTACCATAATCCATGTGAAAAAGTGGAAATCTTTCACCGAGGCCCCCCTGCCCTTTTTTTTTTTTGTCCCAGGCTGGAATGCGGTGGCATGATACTGGCTCACTGCGACCTCCGCCTCCCAAGGCAGGTGACTCTCCTGCCTCAACCTCCCAAGTAGCTGGGACTACAGGTGCCTGCCACTACGCCCAGTTAATTTTATTTTTAGCAGAGGCGGGGTTGGCCAGGCTGGTCTTGAACTCCTGACCTCAAATGATCCACCCACCTCGGCCTCCCAAAGTACTGGGATTACAGCCGTGAGCCACCGCGCCCGGCCCTTTTTAAGAAAATGTGATGGCTTATCATATTTATAGTGACTTTAGTCTTTGTTAGCATTCTACATTGTCCCCAGTCCACTTGGCCTATGGCCACAGGTCACACTCAATTCCGCAAATTCAACAATTGACTTCTCCATTTATACAAAAATGACTTTCAGAAATACATGAGCTGGCTGGGTGTGGTGGCTCATACCTGTAATTCCACCATTTTGTGAGGCTGAGGCGGGAGGACTGCTTGGGGCCAGGAGTTCGAGACCAGCCCAGACAACACAGCAAGACCCCACTTCTACAAAAAAATTTTAAAAATGAGGTGGCTGTGGTGGTGTGCACCCGTAGTTCCAGTTATTAAGGAGGCTCCAATCCTGGGAGAATTAGAATTACCCAGGAATCTGAGACTGCAGTGAGCTGTGACTCACCACTGTACTCCAGCCTGGCACCAGAGTGAGACTCTGTCTGAAAAAAATATGTAAATAAATAAAAATTAAAAAAAACAACAAAATGACGTGAGCTGAGTTATGAAGTATCTCGGAGCTAGATTCTCCAGAATACCACAGTTGCTTTAAACATCTCCTCATCTACATCCTTAGCATTCTCTAATTTCTCTAGGTGTTGAAAAGCAGATACAAGGTTGTTTATCAGATTTTTGTGCGTGCTCCAAAGAAACAGCAAAGACCCTGTACTTCAGCTCTGTGGGAGCAGTTAAAGAGTTTTAAGCAGTATTTTAGTAAATCTTGTTTGCAGGAGGTAAAATAGAAAAGCTCCTTACAGCGCTTTAATTTCTGAGATTTCAGAGCAATGGTTCCCAGCCTTGGCTACACATTAGAACCACCCTGGGGGCTTTAAAAACCACTGAGGCCTGGGTTCCACCCCTAGCAATTCTGACTTAACTGGTCCTTGGGTGGCCTGGGTGAGGGCAGGGGGAATTATTTAAGCTTCCCAGGTGATTTCAATCATTGCTGCAGCAGTGGCTTCACACCCCAGAGGACAGTCATTTCTGCCGGGGACAGCAAACCATTAGGAAATAAATTATGAGCAGCTGCGGTAGCTTTTAGACTTTACCTCTCCTTCTAAACCCCTTTATATCCCCTCCTCTGAAAAGAAGGTTGAATGTAAGGGCTCTGGAATTAGAATGGCCTTGGTTCAAAAAACTTTGGTGCCTACGGGGCCTTGAGCAAATTACTTAATCAGATCCTTAGTTTCCTCATCTATAAATCAGAGATAATACCTACCACCTACAGGCTACAGGAGATACTGCATTTTAAAGCCCTGGCACATGGGAGGTACACAATAAATAGAAGTAATTATTATAATTTCCATGATGCAGTTAACTTATACCAGAGGTAAAAAGGATGTTGTCCCCTGTAATATGTGATATTCATTTGTTTAAAATAAATATGTGTTTAAGATATGAGAAGCTCCAAACAGGCATCTACATAGGTTAACAGGATTTTAGGATTCCAGGAGTCTAAACTGGGTCACCTAGTTCAGCTTTTTGACAAATCCAGTAGAATAGGTCACAATTAGCATTTAAAAATCATGAAAATAGATTAGAATAGAAAAGATCAGAGGACATTCACATATAATAAGGATGGATATTTTGGTATCAAACTCTTGTTTTGGCTATGAAGTGTGTGTGTGTGTGTGTGTGTGTGTGTGTGTGCATGTGTGTGTGTACTGGGTTGCCAAATAAAATGTATTTCTTTTTATGGATCTAGCCTAAAAGTTTGAGAAACATGGCCGTAATCCAATTCTCCTATTTTACATATGGAATACAAGCTCAGAGAGGTTAATTTACTATGTCAAGACCAGCCAGCAATGATTAGTGGAGCTGGAGCTAGAACCTAGGTCTCTGGGGAGGCCCTGAGACAATTCTTGATACTGGGTGCTGAGGAAAATATGGTTAGTTCTCTACATACAGGTTTCTTCTCTGCCAATACGACTAGGGAAAGGTGTTAAGAAGAGATTAAGAGCACAGGTTCTAGCAGGAGACTTCTTGGGTTCAAATCCTTGCTCCACAGTATGCTCAGCTCTGGGACTTTATATCAATTACCAAACTTGTCCAAGATTCCCTTGTCCCATCTGCAAGCTAGGGTTGACAACAGCACCTGCTTCACAGGGATATTAGGAGGAGTAAATGAGAGAACGTGTCGTGCTTGGTAAAGGGTCAGGTATACTGTGGGTGCACAACAGGTGGCTGGTGATCTCCAAGGTATCTGCCAGTTACAGAGCCTCTCATTGGCCAAGTTCACTGACTAGCTCCTTCCCATCTCTTAAATGCAAACACAAGGAGAGCGGTTTCCTAATTAACATATGCTGAGGGACGGAGGCACCCTTCTGTTTGGGGGAAACAAAGAAATACAGGGAGAGAAAGCAAAGTGCTCTCAAGGTTCCCAGTGGACTTTTTAGCTATCCCGTACTAAAGGAGGGGAAAAACAAAAACATTTGCTGCAGAAGCTAGTCAGTTCTTGTGGAAAAGCCATGAATATCTTCCTGTCTCCTCTCTTTCCCTTCTGACCACTACAAAGCAAAGGGCTTATGGATTTGGTGAAAAGACCTTGAATCAGAGTTGTTAGGGGCTGCACTCTGTCCACCCGCCCCCCAACCAAATTCATATGCTGAAGCCTTAACCCTCAGTACCATATTTGGAGAAAGGATCTTAAATATGGTTGGAATGCAACCATATTTGGAGATAGGGTCTTTAAAGAAATGATTACATTAAAATGAGGTCATTAGGGTGGGCTTCAATCCAATACAACTGGTGTCTTTTTTTTTTTTTTTTCTTTTTTTGAGCTAGAGTTTTGCTCTTGTCGCCTAGGCTGGAGTGCAGTGGCACGATCTCGGCTCACTGCAACCTCCACCTTCTGGGTTCCAGCAATTCTCCTGCCTTATCCTCCCAAGTAGCTGGGATTACAGGCACACACCACCACACCCAGCTAATTTTTGTATTGTTAGAAGAGATGGGGTTTCACCATGTTGGCCAGGCTGGTCTCAAACTGTGATCTGCCCGCCTCGGCCTCCCAAAGTACTGGGATTACAGGCGTGAGCTATGGCATCTGGCCTGACTGGTGTCTTTATAAGAAAAGGAGATGAGGACACAGACACACACAGAGGGAAGACCACATGAAGACACAGGGAAAAGGCAGCATCTACAAGCCAAGGAGAGAAGCGTGGGGAGACACCAACCCTGCCGTCACCTTGATCCTGGACTTCCAGCCTCCAGAACTGTGAGGAATTTCTGTTGTTTCTAATCTACATGTCTGTGGTACTTTGTTAGGGCAGCCCTATCAAACCAATGCAGGGGTAATGGCAGTTCAGGGAAAGCAAACACCTTCAACCCCTTCCCTCCAAACCCTCAACAATAGAACAAACAAAAACCCCTCTAAACACTCCTGGCCCCAAACACAATTATGGCATACTTGTTCGTTAATGGTTGCCAAACATCAGTTTTAAATACCCTCCCTGGAGCTTCATTCTTAGAAAGCAAACATCTCCTTCTCTGGGGGATTCTTTTCAGTTCAAATTCAACACCTGATCAAGGGTGTGGCATCAGTTTCCCCAGAAGGCAGCTGATTTTTAATGATGGCAGAACTACTAAAAAGCATCCTAATTTTCTCCAACAATTGGCTAAGTCACAATGTTCTTAATGTAATGACATTTTTGAGAAAGGCCAGAATATCTGAATTGTTGATGATACCTGGCCCACTGCCCCAAGGGGAAAAAACCCAGAAACTGTATATTTATAACATTAGAGAGATTTATTAAGGCCATTTTTGTTTATCTCTAACTTCCCGAGAACAAACTAAAGTCTGAGGAGACAGAGTCTTCTCGAAGATACTTTATATTGGTTATCTGATGAAAGCATCATAAAGATTGAGAAAGTTTTCTTTTGCTTTAGTTTGGCAATTATGTGAAGAATTGTCATCATTAAAAAAAAAAGCAATGTTGAGAGAACTAAGTACAACAGCTATTTGCACAACTCTAATAAACATTACTGCTTTTATTCTGTGCCAATAGACTTCTCCTGTACTTTAAAGAAGTCTTATCTTCACCAGTTCATCCTGACTTTCAAGGCTGGAATCAAAAATAGAAGAGAACATCAGAGTGATGGTGTGACTTCCATCAAAGCTGGTTGTGTGGGATGTCAGACGAAAAGTCAATGGGGGGTCTATGAGAGGTACTTCAACCTGTTTCAGTATTAAGCATATATTAGGCACACTCATTCA